CCCACACACGTAGGCATCGACACACGTCGATCAATGGTGTGTGCCACAATTGACTGCATTGAAAATTGGATGAGAGGGCGTAAAGCGGGGATGGATGGGACGGGGGTGGTTTCTTTAGTGGTCGTCGCTATTCTGGAACGCTATTTCACGGCTCATTGCTCATCTGTAAATTGTTCTCAATTGTTTTTGTGAAACCACGTCATAGAACCAATATCACTTATTTGATTTTTGACTATGGGGCTGAGCACGAAAGGTCTTCAACTTGCCATGGAACTTTGAATTGATAACTGGGCAAATTGATAGAGTCTAAAATGCTTGCTACGAATATGGAAACCAAGACTGCTACTGGAACTTTACAAGAAAATTGTGAGTGAGGAAGCTGATAGAAAATACAGCGCCAACATTGAAAGCGAGTTAGTCTGTCCGCTTCAGCCTTTTTATTGTTGCCGATACCTTGCATATAGTCGTAAATAGATGGCCCGAACACAAATGCGACATTTGGTTTTGGCACAGGTGCTATCTGGAGCCAGTTGCTGCTACAACTTACTTTTTCGCTACATTTCCTGTCTGTTTGACAGCTTACAACTAGTTAAGCAAGTTCTCGTAGCAGTTTTGGTCACTTATTAGAAACTACTTTTCTTGACCCTATTGATATCCATAGATGTGCACCCATAGCTCCAAGGGAAGTTGGAAGCCCTCCCTGGTAGGACGTGGCGGAATCGAAGATAGAAGTATGAGAATAGTCGAACTTATTTTAAATTTTCAGTTGAAATATGACACGTTGCTGTCGATGTGGGTTCTCGAAATGCTGGTGAAAGAAGTAATCAGAGAAGCCGGCTGTGAGTATAATAGATTCGAGAGCGCTACTTCATCAAGAAGTTTGCGTAGTCAGCGAACCGGTCAAATAGAGCTCGGTTACACTGAAACAGCTCCGAGTCAGAGGGGCACGCAGCTGGCACCACACGAACAAGCGGAATAGTGACACGGGTAAATCGATCAGGCCAACCTGGGCAACGTTGGATATGATCGAGGTAAGCTCGAACATCTGGGCTGGGTGATCACGTGAGCCAGAACTCCGTCATAACGACACTCTGTGGTCGAAAGCAACACATTAGTGATGCAGGACTGAGCGAAATGCTCCGCTTTCTGTAGTTAACTTCATTACTACTCCCTTCACTGTAAAGCGAATAAATGAAAGAGTGGCTTCGTGAGAAAACAGCTCGCAATGATTTAGAAAGGGGCACGCCAGGGCTTCGAGGAAATTTGAGTCAATGCACCTCCTTAATCCCCTCACCCCCAGTCTTCCCAGAAGTCAGTGGCATGAAATGTGTGCACAGAAAACAGTGAAGTTGTCATTGCTGAGCACTTCCAAACTGTCCTACAAAAATACGCTACGGTTCCACCCGAAGATCTTCTCACAGCAAGTGATACAAAAACTCCTCCAGTATAAAGGATTCTCAACCCACAGCAGAAACGAATTCAAGCCAACTCGTTGACGAGCGCCGTTGTGTGGCCATCTATTCTTACAATTATTCATCGTAGTTATTACTTCATCAATGTTTTCATTAATGATCAACTCGAAATGCACTATTTCTCCTATACGATGACGGACGTGGACAGCTGTGGGACATAAAAAAAGTGGAGCTACAAACCAAGAAAAACGGGCCACTGCGGGACATATATGTCTCGCGCGGTCGTCGCTACGTAAAACTTGCCAAGGCGTCAAACGTTTTCGATTATACATGAAAGAAGGATTTTGATATGTCAGGTGTGTGATGCCAGGACGAAGCCGGATAACTCAGGAAATACATCGGCTTCGTGTCAAGAGGAAGACTTGAATTCATTAAGTAAATCGGGTGGCTGTAAGCTGCTAATGCAGTCACGTCTGCTCACGTCGGCGCATTGATCGGTATGATATGGGTTTTAGGTAGGGTGAGATTGCAAATGATAGAATTGCAGATTCATTTCGAGTGCATCTGAGCACATAACCATATCTATAGGAGTTTAACACTTCACATTCAAAATACTATTAGATACCTACAAACATACGTGACGTATGACCATAATATGCAGAAGAGAATAACAATGAATTACACTGTATAAATTAACTGACAAGAAAAAGACAACTAAGTGTATAAATTCAGTACTTCATAATGAAATGTATTACTGAGAGATCAATCGGGAAAAAGCCGAGCACCGACAACGAAGGCCTCTTGGGTGGCAACGACATGCTGCTAGAAAAAGCTGCGATGCTCGTACGTATATAAATGGACTTATTCAGAGATTAAATACAAGATATAGAGCAGGGCGGAGATTGAATGAGTGAAGCCAAAGCAAAGCCACCCGAGAGAGCCTTGAGCAAATAGAGCATTATCATGATACGCCATTACAATCAAGACCGTGTTTCCTGTGTAATTTATAAATATAAGTGAGGGAGCGAAAGTGAGAGAGACGGACCGAAAAAAAATGAGCGCGAGTTGCCGAGACTAGATAAAAGCAGCAGACATCGCTGAGGTACCCGCAGTAGAGAATTCCGCAGTGCAGTCGACTAATGAAGCGTTGTGTATGCGGTTGACGGAAGTCAGCAAAGAAGAGGGTGGTCGTTGACCGCTGACAGCCAGCCAGCCCGAGATGGGTCGTCGGTCGATACGACAAGAGCCGCCAACCAGAGCGGCTTCCGCGTTCAGACGATAATCTCTCGTATTACACGGCATCCATTTTCATCATCCATACCGGTACCAGCATTCTCGTTATTTTGTTCATTACCTGTAATTCAGGACTGATAGGCTAACAGTAAATGGATGGTATAGACAAACCCAACACACCATGGAATAGCCCGTGCTTGGAGTCGTTCTGATAGTGGTCACTCGAGAGATCGCCCTGTTCGTCCGTCCAATTTTCGGCAGCGGTCTCATCACTAAAAATCGAATTTACAACTAGAAAACGGTCAAGTCTCAAGTGATAGTAGGTAGGTGAGCGAAGCCTGTGAACGATCATCGTCTGGCTCCCCACTTTCTTCACGACTTGGGGCGCGGCCGCGGCAGCCGAGTATGCGCCATCAGCTTACCTGAGTATTCGGCGTTACATTACGGCACCAGCTTACCTGAGTATTCGACGTTACATTGCGATACGTAATGTAACGTCGAATACTCAGGTAAGCTGATGGCGCATACTCGGCCGGGTTTGCCGCGGCCGTGCCCCAAATCGTGAAGAAATTGGGGGAGCCTCATCGTCTCACTGGTTATACCACATAGATTGTCGTCAACCTCACTAAAAAAGGGGATTAATCCAGTGTAAGAGCACAGCGCTTGATAAGTTGTGTTATGATAGCCGTTGCTTTACGCCGCAGTTCGCTATGCGGAAGTTACCACAACAGTGCCAAGCTCTGGGCAAAACACACTGCTTCAGACGGGAATCAAAGTCGAACCTCGTGCTCGCCGAGCACGAGTGCAACTTTCAACCACTATAACATCATTGAAAAAAAGAGTTCAGGCAATCTAAAAAATGGCTGAGGCTTCCATTCTCACGGTTCATGACTGATGTCGGCTAAGCGGCTTCTACGTCATAGGTATGTGCCAACAAGCCATGATAAGTACACCAAAAAAGCTGGCGACATTACACTGGCGATGTAATGGGAAACCCGCGCCAGAAAAGCACGCAACTGAGGTTCGTTTGTCGGCTGGAGCGAATCGTTTTTATCACAGCTCTGACTTACATAGCTTTTGAACAATGGGAAATAAACACGTGTATCAACCAAGCTACGGGGTGAGTCGGAGATCTTGAAACTGAACAAAGTATAAAAAGGAGATGTCGCGCACACGTACCTTGAGTAATTGTGGGTAGGTATAGCCGATTTGAGCTTATTCGAGTCCAGATAAAAACGCCACTGTCGGCCTGGGATCCGTGAACAGCAGTGTTTTTTGTTTCCATCTGAGGCATTACAGGAAATTCTCTGACTCTGTAAATGCATTTCCCTTGCAACAGAATCACTTACATAAGAGTTCAAATAATGGAATAATCGAGAACAATAAAGCTGCGTATTACTTAAAAACTTTTAAACTCGTGTGTACTCGATGATACTTCATGGGCGTAAGTAGCGTACCTCTTTTTAGTGCCTTTGGATGGGGAACGAGTTCGGCAGCAGAAGACAAGAAGAACACATATAATAATAACAAGTAACGCCAGTACCGCCGCCGGTATTACCAACGCCAGCCGCCAAGGGCTACCTATTGAGCTCGCTTCTGCAAGACAGATCATTACTATCACCCAAGAGAGTGCAACTCTAAAAGCAAACAAACCAAGTATATGGGACATCTTCGAGCAGCTGAGCACGTGTTCTCTAGAGCAAAACCGTGCTCTAAAGAACGCCCCACCGACGAGGTCGGATATAACTTGGTCTGGTGAGAAACAGCCGGCGGATCGCCATGTGTCACCAGAAGAAACATACAGTAGTGTGCAGTCGTCGGGAGGAGGTCGTGGCTGCAAAGGGGGACATAATGAATTGCCCTTTTTTCAAATACAATACGTCCAACTTTACTCTCTGATTTCTGCAGGTTTCATCATTTTTTAATAACTATAAATGTGCGAGTTCTATTACGAAACTAACAATGCCTTGTAGGTTTTCCTGATACATACGACTCAGAGTGAACTTTTTTGGATTTGGCCCATTTTTTTTATTTTGAACAGAGATATCACCTAAGTCGGCTTATCTCCGTAGCCTTCTATCCCTCTTAACAGTCCGCGGGTATACCCTCAGCTTGTTAAGACACGTATTTAGAATGCTTGGGCTGGACTAGAGACCCTTACATCGAGTGCCCCTATCGAGAGACCTGGGCAATGTGAGCGCGGTAGGGCACGCTCACATTGAGAAGTCATGCCATATGGGCCTCATTAGCCTTGTAACACTCCAGATTTCATGAATTTTGAGAAGCTACGCTCAAGCTCGTGTTATGGCCGATGGATTTTGCACGCAGGCTGGAGTGCTTTGAGCTAGTTGAATATCGGGAGCTATTAGCTACCTCAACATATATCTGAATGGACAGGAAAGGTGCAACAATGGATACCCTACGAGTTGGGCACGCTACTCAATGAAACCTTTCCCTTCTTGAAACTCAATGAAACAGTTACGGCGGTGTAGTGAATTAGAAAGATGTAAAATATTTACCAAAAATTCTCAACGACTGAGCACTATCTTGGCCGAAAGAGAAGGAGTTATCCTTTCTACAACAACGCGCGGCCAAATCTGTAGACTCCAGGGGTTTTCATTTCGTACCAGTGGTCGCTGTTGCGCGCACAAACAGCACTGCGCAATATGTCACGGTTTCGAAAACTTTAAATTCAGCCCGATACACCACGAATGGTCTACTTGCTCATTGCTAGGCCGTAGATCTCTGTGGCGCTTTCTTATCTTGGTCTCCAGTGGCAAAAGTCATGGTATCATATTGGACGACTTCCCTTATTTTGTGTTCGCGCCATCGCATGGCGCATGCCGGGCCACCCTTCGACCCGAGAGGCTTTGAGCCTTCCACTACTTCGTCAACCAGTTTTCCGTCTTTTTCACAGGTCTCCGGCGCTTTGGCCGCGATGTAATAAATCTCAAAGTACACAAGATCAACACCCCCATTTGTGCACGGGGGGATGCTTTCCTCGCGTCATGCCGTATACGTGTTGACGATTTTCTTTCCTTGTCACGCAACCTGCTGCCACTTTCTTTCTCGGTCCTCTTAGGCCTCGCCTAGGACCCTAGGTATAACCATTGGAACGGCACCACCTGTGTGAACGCATGGCCGAACATGTCCCAAAAGATGGCCAGTCGTGCACTTTCATCTAATTCGGTTCGCCACCTAATCCGCTGTTGTTCCTGATATCGATACTTTCTAGGAACGAGTTATACAATTGGTGCAAACTCCAACACCGTTGGTGCGCGTCTAGCGCTACCATCAACCGTTCCAACCATTCTTTACTCCTTCTCCGTCGCACTATTCACCCTTTTCTCCACTCTTCTTCTATCTCGATACCCGAATTGTGTGGACTTGTAGAAAAAAGCAATTCTGTAGCAGGACACACTCTGCAAATTGGCGGACGAGCCTCCCACTCACGCTCATGTATGCTGGGAGCACCTTCAACATTGCCTTCCCCCGCACCAACCCGCAGCCCCTTCACTTCTATTTTTTCCGCTCTGCAACTTGTGTCCTAGACCGAGTTTCGACCCATGCCCACCGCTTTTCGAACGCGCCCGCCCAGGTAGACTCCTAGTGTCGGACTGGCTTTGATCAAGAATATATCTCCTCCATTTTCCTGCCCTACAATCCCCTAGGCTTTGGAGTCTTCAGTAGCGCCTCATTTCGATGCTAGATCAACCACACTGTGGGGCAGGGGGCTCTACTTGGACAATTCTCTAATTCTCGAAGCCATCGGCCCACATCGCTCACATTTGACCCTGTCCTCCTCAAGCTCGTGCAGGAAGTCAGGAAACTTCCGTTGAAAGATCAACCAACGTGACAAAGCGCTGACGACAAACAATTAGAGCGACAGAAGCACCAGATGCAGTGCCTCAATAGTGAGTAGATAATGTTTGCGCGGAGCTGAGAAATGCCGTGTTCACCTGTAAACTCTTCAAAAAGTGAAATTATTTCCGGAACAGTCCTCGAACAGGCCCGTAATGAAGTTGCAAAGCCGAAAGCTTACCCAGGTTTCATAGTGGAGGACAGTGACAATACTAAAGCATAATCTCTAGGTCAAACCACAATAACTTGCTATTCACTTGTAAGTGACGCCCTTTTGATTATTTCTCTCTTACAAATCTTTACGCCCTTGTTCCACCGGGCACACACCGCTATCCCTCTACGACAGTGGCTAAGTGAATTCGAGAGTGCACGTATTAGCTGCTTGTCGTATATCAAAAAGCAAAAAAAAAACAAAAAAAAATTGAAAGATGTAGGTTCGCAAAAGGCTGTTTAGCGTGACGCCGCTGCCATAGGCAATGTTTGTTCAGGATGTTGAAATTTAGATCGTTCGGCATCTCGCCCAGAACAAATCACGCACATACCATTCCATCGGATGGATCATTGCAAGATCAAATCTCCACAGTGGCTGGTCTACAATACTGCTCTCGCTGTGTGTAGCGTCAGCTACCGAACCAGCTGCGCAGTATTAAGATGCACTAAAGCCGTCATCATGTCACTCCACAATTTTTCTTATGAATCGTCAACGGCTTGGCCATCCCTAAAATAAGACTTACACGGTGGAGTGTCTCAGCTGCAAGAATGGTATTGCTTCTGAATCTGGCAATCTAGAAGACTAAAGTTTTAGCTAGAACGAGTTCTAAGTGTATGTTTTATCTATGAGATAGCAGACCAATGTCTTCCTGCAGGTGAACACCTAAAAATGTGCTTTGTTGTACATTAGAGTTGAGATGGCAGTAAAACAAAAAAGTAATGCCGCTACCTCCACCCCAAATGACTTCTCGCATCAAATCGAACTGAGAAAGATGGGGCGACGCATTTGGGATCTTCACTCCACGTCAATTTGTGGTTCGCGATCACCATGGCGAGAAATGCGAAAATCCCTTAATTTTCAAAGTTTTCATCGAAACGTGAATCCGATATTGTTGTCAATATACGTTCTCTAGTAAGCAAAGGAATGCGTGCGAAAATCGTATACATGTCGCGTGTGGATTGCGAGGCGAATCGAAGTGACGTCCATCGTATCCAAGGCGGGCAGAAGATGGTAGTTCACATTTGTACGGTAGCTGTGGCTCGGATTGAGTTATTTTCGAAGTGTTCACTCGATGACTCGTAACAAGGCTCTTCTACGGGCTCTTTTCTGTTACACAGAACACAAAGTATCTACTAGTTGGTAAGTCTTCCCGTTCAATATCCAGACACAACAGCCAAAACGATTCTCTCATATTGTTGCAGGCCAAAATCTAAACTGATCGTTTTCTTTGCCCCACACTGGATTACAACCCACTTGTTTGCCGCCCTCTTAGTTGTTGGCAATGTCGCATTCAAAAAATTATGCGTTACACCACTGCTTTGCGTATCCATTGGAGGTACACATAATTGAATGAATAAACTAATAAATAAATAATAAATAAGTAAATAAATAAATGACCAATCAATCAATTAATCAACTAGTATAGTTAATAAATAAGATAAATAAATAGATAAATGGACAAATAATAAGCAAATAAATGGATAAATAAATGGAAAGGAATCAATATAGTGGGATGCATCGTATTCGATTTCCATCGTGTACACTCGATGCAAATCGAATCGATACACGAAAGTTTGGTTTTCCTCTTCAAAAAGTTCTAATGTAGTCATCTCATGAGCATAACCTTACGGAAATAAAGGGTAAAATAGAGAAAAAACACGAGGCGGGCTCCCATCAAGTAAAAGTGTGACTGAAACCCTGAGTGGGTTACTGAATCCTTGCATGACCTGGACACAGGTTGGGTCACTCGGAATCGCCGCGCAGCTTTCCGCGCGCGACGTATACGGTCATTTCGCTACATGCTCGTAAAAATATACCTTCTTGTTCTTTGCACGAAGTCGTAAATAATAGGATGAAAGAGGATTAAGACCTGTCAAGTTGAAGCTCAAATACCACGACGCCGTTCCATCGTCCTTAAATATTAATCCGCTGACATCTATATCGCAAAGGTTGAGATGGCTCTAATTCAAACCTCGATATTTTCCACTCTTGATGTGTTTTTCACTTCCACCGTAGAAACATCTTCTTTTCCGAACGTTTCCGTGAACGGATTAACGTTTCTGAATATGACACAATCTCTTTTACTGCTGGCTGCTCGATGAAGCGAGCGAATTTACCTGTATTCAACAATGAATGTCTGTTCGAATCCGCCATCGAATCCCGGAACCCAGCCAAGGGACAAGGAATTCGGAGTAGCGGACAGTTTTCTAAGATTCGTTGGAACTTGTGGAGGCCCTGTCAAATAAGTAATGTCTCATACAATGTGTATACTCGGCCTTCAGTAGAATTTTCAACTAAAAAATCTCGGAAATTCAACAAGGTTTCAGCACCAAAACAAGAAAACGTGGAAAATTAGGTACGCACGCGCACGCCATTCCGCATCTACTTTCCATTTGTACATTCGCAGTGGCGTTTTAAATGCGATGTGCCTATACAAATGACATGCGGGGCCCAGCCGATGTTCAAGTCAGTGTTTTTTATCCTCCCAGACATATGTGGTAGCAATTACGCCCCGGAAAAAGGGATGGGAGGCTTTTGTTTACAGCCAGGCAACTCCGACCTAGGATTTGATCGACCGCTCGCGTGATGAGGGCGCGCCACTGGCCACTGCATCACTTCCGCGCGCATCGCAGCACGTAACACCTAGTGTCAGGAAAGTCCTTGCGCGTTTTCTTTTTCATCTTGCAAAATGGGATCGTTTTGAAACATATACTGGGAAGTAATGTGAGCGGTGGTCAATACCCCTTGAGAGCACCTCTGCCGTTACATTTGCACAGCTTAAAGCTGAAAAATCGTCTTTCATTGAAGGCAATCCGATTGCTCCTGCTTTTATGAGCCCACAAGGTGCGCCGATTGAAGCGACGCAGTGAGAGGCCTACGTTTTGTGATCGACATTCAGATTATCTTTTACAACAGGACAATAATTCGGTCGCGGATGTCCAGATCTATGCGAAAAACCCAAATTTGGCCAGTCTGTTCCACCACATGAAGGTGTATTCTCGAGTTGATGGAACGAGTTCCCGGTGCAACGCGCTAGGAATGGCAGAGCTTTTTTAGTGGTGTCATAGCACAACGGCCGCTCCTCAATATCGCCTCCGAAAGAAGCGGAATTATGGCGAAAAGACATTTCGTGATCTGATTAACTACCACGTTAAGGCGGAAAACTCTCGCATGAACATTTTGATTTAGCAGCTGCCTCTCATTTGATCCAACAACATTGCTGGTGGTAACAAGAAGTGGGGTTTTCACATAAACCACACACGAAGGCACGACAGGCTCGGACGCTTAGACAAAGGATTGCACACGACAAGGCTTTTCAGAACTGCAACCTGGGAGGCAATTTCGAGAGCTAATAAGGCTGCAAGTGTTTTGCTCTCCCAAAAGCTGCCGTTAACGAAGTCCACTGCTACTGGTGAACAATGATGTTGAGAGTGGATCGGTTGCCGGGATGCTGCTCAGAAAAGCTAGCAAGTCGACATACTTTTTTCTCGGCAACACTCGCCGAATTACGAAGAAGGTCCACCGGAGGTCTTCCACTTCGTGATAGGTCTTCTTGCCCTCCTAGTGTGTTCACAACCCTTGCTCAAACGGATAACCATCAGCCTTGGTTGCCTTCAAAGCAACTGAAAGAGGGGTAGCACGATAATCCAGACCTACATGAAGAATACTTCTTCGATCTTTTCGCCTCAAAGTTCAATATTTCTAAACGACCGGCAACCAGATGGTATTGCGGGAAGGCAACGTTTCGACGATTATGATGGTTTACATATTCGTCAATTGTTGGCTGCTTTGCAGGTGGAAAATGAATTTGAGAAAAGTTACAAATGCGCAGTCTTTTCCGACAATAATACTTATCTTCTGCGTCTACGGTACTTACACTCGCGAGTCATTGCGCCACCGCCGCTTCCGCGCGACGCTTCCTGCAACTCCCATGCTCCGACATAGGGCTACCTCATCAATTATCCCTGCTATACCTACTATATACAGGGAGGGGGAGGGCAAAAAAATCGCTTTGATCATGGCTCAAATTAGAAAACTTTTCGTCGCATTGGGTGCAGCCATGATGAATGTTTCAGGGCGGTATATTCTTTGAAGTCCTTCCATAATTAGAAGCAGGCTCTCCCTTACTGCCCTCACCGTCCTTGGAAGATGACTTCATCTGCCATTGCTGTCGAGCTCAAGGAGGCCTGCCGTTATCACTCCATTCTGAAGCTGCCGCATATTCTTCAATCTTTTTACTGGTGGACAGCTTTCTGATGGCTGTAGCTCTACCCATGTAAGACCTCTTTCAAACAACTTCTTAGATTCGTCATAATGTTTACAATCGCCGAGGACCTCGCTGAGCACGAACTGTGCACTACGTTTCAGAGGGAAATTCTTCTGAAGTCTCCGGTGTAGGGATTTGTTGGGACGATCTTCAATAGACTGGAATGTGCTTTCAATTTTCAATTGAGGTTTGCTTCTAGCCAAGCGTATGTAATTCCGTTTCGAAGTTGAGGAAAAGGGACTCTTTTTCGGTCCCATCCCCCCCGCCCCTGAATAGAGCGCTAATTCTATGGTGTGTGTCACAGTGCCTGTCTGTCACGAAAATGGGTACTATCGTGAAGAACACCTGCAGAAATCTGGGTCGAAGTCTGAATGGTGCAAGAGGCACAAAACGCTTATAAGCAAGGCGGAGATCCGCCCGCAATGGGTAGGGCACGCGCCGGGGAGGGCGGTGCGAAAACTCTCAGTTGGCTACAGAGCCCAAAGACTGGGGAAAATAGCTGAAGGTGTGCACTGAGTTGTTAACTCGAATTAGGGACATCAACCTGTGAAGGACGGGTGCTTTCTCTGAAGGTGCTTTGAAAAACTCATAGCTTTGTTAGAAGAAAGCCTGGAGAGCAATCTGAAGCAATTTTTCCTGCTCTCTGGGCCTTCTCCTCTGCAGACCAAAATTGATTTTGGGCGTTTTTCATGGCGCACGTAATTGTTCGCCACAATGGATTCACAGGAGAATGTGGGCTCCCAAACGATCAAAATCATACATCTCCCAAAAATTTGAAAAGCCATTAGCTAGAAAAAGGCCGATATATCATGCTCAACCTCGAAGTAACTGTCTCATATTACAAAGCGACCTGCGCATGTTTGCATACTTTGCCGTGCATGACTAGTCACCTGTTCGCGTCAATTTGATGATGACCTCTGCCTTGTCCATTCCGTTCGCCACACGACACATGTATGGTCCGTAGTCACTTTCTGTGGTATCCGAAATCTGCAGGACATGTTCATACTCGTCGCGATTGTAGTGCTGGATGACTTGGAAGGAATATCTGAACATACTCACATGTCAATGTTTGAATTATTATAACACAAACTGGGTCTTCGAAGTGTTTCTGCGTACACACCTGCCGTTTTCTTCAATCGGGAGTGAATTATACACCCAGATGACCGATTTGGGTTCAGGACGAGCAGAAATAATACAACGCAGTTGAGCCTGCAAAGGGACATCTTGCAAGTCGTACTTGTAGAATGAAAACGCCAAACACAGAACTGGGTGGTTGGGCATCAGCTTCACGTTTCTACTCTAGCTCCACTCCCCAAACAATCTCTCTTCATAAGGAAAGTGGATGGCTGTTATTCACCAGGTTTGAAGGGGGGAAAACCGCAGAAACATTTGAAGCATGCCTTCTTTTTCTCTTTCCTTGTTTGCAAGTTCCATCGACGTCTACTGAAACTGTTCCTCTGCAGTTTTTTTTTCGCCCGTTACATAAAGGGTACAATCCACGCAAAACGCTTTCGCGATTATTAGTAGTCCTAATGTTGGCTATAATCAAGTGTTTGCTCAAGAAGCGATGAACTTATGATGTACCAGTAAGGATGCAATATAGTCCTACCCTTACTACAATTACGGTTCTCGGTAATCTCACATTTTTGCAATTACGATGATAAGGATGGTGGGTGGTAGAGGAGCCAATTCGCATGCATGTTGACTTTTTCTTTTTAGAGTTTCTTCAAATTTTCCTTCCAAACGGCAATATTCTACGCAGCGGGCTTCATTCCTATTCTGAAACATATTAGCCTTCTTCAATGCTTGAAGGTATAGCGGAAACTTTGGTCTCACGCGAATAGGCGGGTTCCGACTGAATTGGATGAGCATTTTTGAGTCCGTCTTCCCTCACGAATCAACAGCGAAATGGGTCCTTTCCTGATATTTCAAGAACAACATCCTAAAGGTCAGGTGCTGGGGGACCAACAACTACATGTTCTGAGCTACAGTTTTCAAAGGGATCTTGCATACTTCCTCACATAATCTGCATTTATTTGTAGCGTCACAGTTGATGAATGGTTTTACAGTCAAAAAGGTACATGATCAATTTCATTCTTGTAGGCTAGGAGACCTTCAAAGGCAGTGTCGCAGAAAGCGGCGATTCGGCATTCGCTGCGAAAGATACCGTATGCAGTCGAAGCAGGAAACTTCTCCAGTTTCTTCTCTCTGTTTTCATCTTTTGTGCAGTAGCGGTCAGAAATATTCGCACCATCCGGTTTTTCTAACATTACATTTTCCAGAGAAGACTTGAAGGTTAGCTGGGATTTTTTCTCCCAAACCTTTAAAGCCACGAGTCAGGATTAGGCAACCAGCAGTTCTTCCCAGAGTGCCATGGTGGCCTCCTCAAGCACTGCGGGCGCGACGCTATCGCGACCCAAAGATGCGCGGCAATGGCGCTAAGGCCTTGCCCGCCGCGCTGCGCGCGCTGCCAGCGTAGTCCAACACGGCATACGTGGTCTCTGCGTCCTCTCGCGTACGACATACTATCTCGCGTTCTCCCTCTCCTCGCAGCGCTGTGGGCATCCTGAGGGAAGTTTAGCGTTTTCTATGGTGTTTTTTGCTTTTTCTCCTCACTAATGTTCCTCATTGCACTCCCTGCCTAATGTTTGAACAAAAAGCATCAGTTCAATACCGACTCGTGCCTTTAGGCTTGTAAGACACAAATATTCAAAAACATTCAAAGGCTTAGCCTCAATAATTTAGGCGATTTAAAAACTCGCTCCAGCGAACACTTCTGACGGTTAGTGATATTCTTTGCTCGAAAACTAGGTTAGTGCTATTCTTTGCTCGAAAACTGATGAATTATTTGCGCGCTTAGAGAGGTCTTAAAAACCCAAACAATAGGAGGACAGTTGATAAGATTTAAACTGAACGTCAGGAATCAAAATCGTGGTTGACAGCTTGAACAAACTCAGTCTAACGCTCGACGCTAAAAGGACCACAGTACGCCCACATGTGACTGCTCAGAAACGCCCTGTGTCTCTGCGCGCTCGCCGTCTAGTGGGCCTCCTGAGCGACACCGGTTTCCCGATTATGCAGCAATATTAAACCGCTATGAAATCCAGAGATAAAATGAACTTACCATGGTACCAATATCTGCAGCAGCCAATCCTTCCTCTGGAAATCGCTGGTTCAACACGACTGGGCCATGATTCACGCGCATGACTGTCCATGAAGTATTGTCCACGGTTTTTTGATCAGCACCATTTGTTGCTCGACAGGAATAGTTTCCTTTGTCTGCCCATTTCAGTGGCTTCGAGAATATTAAAGTGCTAGTGACTGTCTGCGAGCAGTAGTCACCCGATGAGCAACTGGAACTTATAAAATTTCCATTTGTAAACAATCCACTGTTCATTAAAATGCGTAAAACCGACAAAAATACATCGTGAGCTAAACAATATGAGAAAAATGTAATCACCTTGACTTTACAATGACACTTTCTATCGTGTAACGTTTGGTATCAATCGGTTCCCCATCTTTGAACCACTGGAAGCTGGGTGCAGGGAATCCCTTCGCCTCACACTCAAGCCCGCCTGCAGGATGGTCTAGCTTCAGTATCCTCTCCTTCGTTAAGTGACGAGAAATCCAGGCCGGCTCAATTACCTGGAAGAGATTAGTTTCGAAATTGAATTGCAGCGTTGCCGTAAATTCGAATAAAAAACGAAATTTCTCAAGTGCCGAATGGTAGAAACCGTTGCGTTTATCTCTTGAATCACAGAAGTTAAATAGTTACCGTATTAAACCAACGCTTATTGGCGTTTAATTTTTTACCCAACAAAAATGTTTACAACCGCACGGCTGAGACGTACTGTTGCATACATGACAATTTGGCAAAACAATGAGGAGAATTACTGGAACAGCTCGCGTCTCATCTAAATTATTCACCACATATTTCATAACTGAAATGGACAAAGAGCGCACGCTCGGCTCCCATCAGATTAAACAGTGGCTTGAGCAGATTTAAGGTTACAGAGCAATTCGTTACTTTTCTATAGTAGTCGACATTATGAATAGTATCAGAAAAGATCCTTATAGAAGCACAACAGACAGAGACCATGTAAACGCTTCCTTTCGGTCTGTAGTACGGACCCCTACAGGAAAATCACAAATGTGGCGTTCCCGTGCACGGAAAACAAACCGGCAAGAGCGCTTGGGTCTTGCCCGATTTTTTACCCTCATCAGGCAATTGTCCGAGGCTCTCTCACCTGTAGCGCTCTCTCGCCTCATACTCTCCTCTCCGCGCTTAGTCTCTGATTCCCTTAGCACAGCCGACTAGTAAGGTGAGTGAGCCCACAGCCCAAGCGATTCTGACGGATTCTTTTCATTTTTTCTTTACCGTCGGCCCATTTCGCACCAATACATTCGCATTCGTGTTCCAGAGCCACACCAATTTGATCCTGCGCCGATCCCCCACGCAGTGCGCTCAATTATTAAGCAATAAGGAAGATACTTAAAAAAGGAAAATAGTTAGGATTGAAAACAAGTACATTCGCTGATCTCCGATATTGATATCAACTTTACTTGGCCATCTTCGTAGATCCACCAATTACCATGAGTGTGCTGTGAAGCAAAGAGAAATGGTACATCTCTATGAAATGGAATTTTTTTGTCAAATTCCAAACCAACTCTCTGCTACTACGAAGTTAACTTTCCGGGCCCCACGGTTTTCATGGTCAAGATTAGCAGGCATTTCTCATAACGATGCATCACAGCATTTTTAATGAACAGCTGCACATTTATTCCTGAACATTCTGGCAATTAAGCAGCTTAGGCCGCATTTTAAGGTGGTCATCTGTAAAAAGCATTCAGGATCTCAGTAGATGGACTCACAGTGACGTCAACGACCGCCTCTTTTCCTTCACCATGTACATTGTCGGCTCGACAGCGATAGCGTCCATTGTCGGCCAGCTGAGCATTCTAACAGTCAGCTGTGCATGGTCGTGTTCTCTCGTACCAAAAAGGCCTCCTGATGATGGAGAAGCCCACTGAAATAAAATAGACGTGGTCAACACAGACAAAGAAACATTGGACTCATCACTGATAGGATGACTACCTTCCCCAGCGTTCCCTGCTGTACGCTATGGGGTACGCTCCTGATCCCCACCCTTACCATTGTTCAGCCGACGTTTAGATAATTGAAGGGATACTAGAATCGCTCGGTACGACTTTATCACATGTCTTAGCGAGCCTATTGACTCTTCCGATTCCGAATTCATTCGATGTTTTCGTGAAATTGAGTTGGAGAAAATAGTTCAAAATTTCATATAGCGACAGGAATGGCTCCATTTACATCCAACAAATACGCCTGACAAAAGGGAGGATTTTGCTGAAATTCAGAACAACTGCTGCTGACTAATCTCTTCGGTTTCAGGGAAAAGATACAATCTCAACAACTGAGTCCCACTTGAGCCTATTGCTCACAATGAAGTCCAGTGTCTTTTTCTGACATGCATGTGTGCGGAACCTTCCAGTTCCCTGAGGTAAGTATTCACAACAAGATGTGCAATACTGCTAATGTTGAAATGGTGTTCCGAAAGTTTTCAGCTTTTGCTCCCTGCTTACAAAAGGATAAGCATGGCGTCAATCCCAGCTTTTTGGGATGCGCCACGCATTCTACTCTCCATTTCGAGACAGTAAAGTGCATTCAGAAGTTACAGGACTGTTTACAATGCCTTGAAGGGGACACGAATAAGCAGGTCATGCTTATCTAAAAAGGCAACTAGGTAGCAAAAGTATCGAAAGGGTGGAAGTAGCACAATGGCTAATGCAAAGGTTGATCTAGGGTTTGTTACGTGATGTTGGCGTGGTATGTAAGAGGCCACCTTCCACCGCATCAACTCTCCCTCCCCCCCACATCCTGTCTCTTCACACAGCTTTGCGATTTTTTAGAACAATTTCATGTTAACGGGCAAGAATCTAGTGCACTCACTAGTCCACACGTTTGAATTTGGTATCGCTCCCCTTATAGAGTAAGTTGCCGTTCCCTTTCGGATTTCGGATGGAATATAACAGACACCGACTTGTGAAGCAGACTCTCGTCTATGGAAGACTACCACAGAGCTTACCCCTGATGCTATGCACATCATCTGTCGGTTTCTGCGTAACCGGTCGGAAGGAGGAGCAAATTGGGGGCAACGTTCCATTAACTCCCTCAAACGACTCTCACCGGGCTTAGCAACCCGAATAAAACAAACTCATGCTCGCACTTTTCCGGAAAATCAATGTGTATGATGTAGCAGAAAACTTTTGACCGTCTCGGTAATGAAAGGTGTTTTGAAGATGCAATGGATGATGCGAATAATCTACCAACATTTTCGGAGCCATGTTTATGGAAGCAAGATGGCATGGTGGGAACGACTTTGTATTACATAGCAAATCAACAGAAGAAGGGTGAATAGAAACCTTAAAGTTGCCTGCTGGACTTCCAGGATCGTGCGTCGAGCATGTCAGGGTAATTGTTCCGCCAACGACCACATTCAGTCTTGGCGGAGATATATCTGCATGCCCAGGAGGTCGTTGAACCTGTAAATGTCCAAATGTTCTATGTGTATATTACATGGAATTTCCAAGGCAGAAAATGTTCAGCTTACATCAACTATAGTTGTAGCCGATCCGGTTCGGGTTTGTGAGCCTGTTTCGCCATATATGCTGAGATAATTTGTCGCCGTACACGTATAATTACCAGTCTGCTCCCTGAAGGAGAACTATAATTGTATGGCAGTTCCCATCCTTTTCTTTTTTCTTCTTTGCGTATTTTTCACGTAGCGTACTAAACGAGAACGTGCCGACTTCCTCGACCTGTTCTTGAACAAATCTCTTTAATACCCGCTTTAAGAACGACCTCGAAAGAACCCCCGCTGGTTGTGGAGTTTCTCGCGAGCTACTCCAACCAGACCAATTATGAGGCCATCTTCACGTTCATTCACGTACGTGTGCAGATCTACCGATTATCCAACTATTATCTCGCTCCAATGAAAATCGTACGCTTCACACGTGAATAGGCCAGTCTAACAACGGAATTCCTCCGAATAGTCTCCTAGAGGTGTCCTGACAGGTCATGTGCAACGTACCTGGAGACGCTTTTTAGAACCAGTAGAGGCCCATCCGAGATGAAACCTTGAGGGCCACTCCATTTCACGTCCACCGCCTGTGGATTGGCATCCACAGAGCACTCAATTTGTACTCGTTCCCCTTCTCTTGGATTGTAGCGCGACTAAAAAATGGTTTTGATGGCTTTATGGAGACTTCGAATAGCCGAAAAACAAGTGTCTTGTTTTGCTCTATGACAATGCGAAAACAATGTTTCTTATTTTGTTCTCACCTTGGTAACAACAACAGGGGCATACTGCACATTTAGAGTGAGAATTGCACTTCCTTCACCGACGCTGTTGGCCGCACGACATTCGAAATCGCCGCTCATGTTGCGACTTGCAATCACCGTCCATTTCGAAGCCGCATACACTTCACCCAAAGCCAAATGTCTCCTTAACACAGAATTATGAGAAAGAAAATTACGCCGATTACAAAAACTCGAGTTTTGTAAGCTCCTCAGACCGGGCTCATACAAAGTACTGTGGAAGATTTGGTGATCCGGCAAAAAGGAATGGATGCCTGTTGAACGGGAAGATCAGAATTTTCTTGAATACTAAAGGGTGGATTCCATAGATCGGGTAGGACCTACCCTGAACCTCGAATTTACGGATTTGTCAAGGTCGAAAGCTGCTGATCTATGCATTTCGGCGCTATCGCAATATAAGGGGCATGTGATAGCAATCGATTCAAAATTGCGAAAAGCATGCCCTTTTTGTTGGAAACGGAACTAAGGTTTTAACAGGGGAAGGGAGACCCCAGGGTGCGTGGGCTATTTTTATTTTCTTCGGAGTCCCCGGCTCTCCTAAGTTTAGTCCTAGAGGATGCCCCCGTATACTGCGATAGCGTCCATTTTCCTGCTGCAGATTCGCAGAATCTCCAAAGTGGTATCTACATATATCTTAGCGCCGTTCTGCGCGTGATACCGCTTGTCGCACGCGACACCTTGGTACCAAACTTTATCACGTAGTGCAGTCGGCGGTAAATAAGTGCGACGTTCAGAAACGCTGCATTCGCCTGGAAAACATACCATTCATAACTGGGTGGATATGGGTTAGAATCAGCATCGCAGACGAGATCAACATGATGGCCAGCTTCGATTGCAAGATCTTGATCAGGAGAAACTCGTACTCGAGGTTTAAAGAGAACCTTAAGAATGCAGCATATTCGAAGAATTTAGAGTTACCATTAGATTCGAGAGTTGTGAGACTCACATTCAACCTCGGCGATCGTGCTTCTTTTGGTTGCTCAAACTCAATGGCTTTGTTTGTGACTGTACAAACCACATAGGCGCCGTTATCTTCAGATCGAACACGAAAGCTATAAATTAACTAGGATCAGGAATGGTTGTATCATAAATGTAGGATTCAGGAAGCTGGAAGACGTACTGCAAAGTGCTCTCCGAAGTACTGCCTTTGAGAAGTGTATTGACATTTCGCTCGTCAGCGGTGCTACCATTCAAAAACGTCCAGCTGAAATGGTGAGCGAATTGTAAGTGGTGGTGGGTTCAAGTGCGAGAATATCTGCCTACCTTATTGTTGGAGGTGGACTTCCACCTGATGATGAGCATTTGAACGTCACACTGTCACCAGCGGTCACGGCTTGCGTTGGAGATTCAGTGATGACCGGATCAGATGGCGGTACTGTAAGTAGACGGCAATATGAAGGTCTTAACGAAGCCCTGTTTCTTCTGCATGCGACACGTAATTGTGCCACATGACAGGGAAAATTGGGGATTACAAGGACGTTCTGGCTTTGGCTCTAATTTCCTGAGACAAATGCCACTCTCATCTTGAGGCCTTCTGCGCTTCATAAATTCTGACTGTGACTCAGAACTTACTGTACTACTCGAAACTATTTATAGGACTTAGAACTATTAAGTCTATTAAGAACTATTAAGTCAGTCGCTTGCGAATGCTGGTGTCCTTGAAGCTCTAAAACTCCCAGACATGCTGGAATGGTTCCTGTCCGTTTACCCCTAATATGTGTCGCCTCTTTGACCGTTTACAAGATCATGGATGAAAGCGAATTGAGTACTACTTCCAGGGACGGGTCTCAACTGCATTAGGGCCCAGCTAGGTCCAGTCTACTAGAAGCAATTGTGTATTTTCTGACGTGCACCATGCACTACTGGCTTCATGAGAACATTTGCTTCAGGGTCCCATACTGGCTTACAGTGCAGAAGGTCTGCAGTTATCGGAACGAATTTATTTCCAGTATTTTTATTTGGATTACGATTTTTTATCCATCAGTTTTTAAGGGGATTTGCGGCTTCCATATCATTGCATTATCACATGCCACAGAGCATAAGTACAACCCAAGGCTTAGATACTGGCCAACCGTTCGCCTGGGCAATTCAGACTAGAGGTGGAAATGGGATTTTGTAATTTTGAGGGGATTCAAAGGCTGTATTTCTGCAAAATACTAAAACAATTTTTTTTGAAAAGTTAGGAACTTTTGTGTGAATTTTTGAGATTTAGCGAAAATTCCAACTATTTTTTGTTTCTATAATTAATTATGATTCCAAATATTCAGATTTTTCGCTATGGACACATACTTCACCCCCCCTTCGTCCTCTCCCAGCCCAGCCACACGCAAGTTTGGGATTTTTTTGAGAAAGAGGGCGTCCTTTAATCTTTGTGCTTTGTATTTGCTGAAGGCTCTCATATTCACCCTGCTATTGAAATGATCTATTCTTCATCACAGGCTTTTCACATGCTTCGAGCAAAATAGCTTAAAAATGTAACTGACATGCCCTTTGCATGTCAGTTACATTTCTAAGCTATTTTGCAGGTGCACATTTAGCAGTAAACAATATTAGTGCTTTTTCAAGTGCGTCATCCGTTACCTTGGTAATGGCACTTCATTAAGGAATTAAGCCCTAAATGACCGGTAATTACATAACAGCGCTGCCCGCAACATCCACCTATCGGGATAGAGCTATCAAATGATATCCTTTGGAAATCTTATATTCACCTGTTCACTGCCCGGGAAGCATTCACTTTCTTGAGTACGAAATTCGCAGTGAATATCTCTCTGACTTAGACTAAAGCTACCCTCTCCATCGAAAAGAAATTCAAAAAGTAAGCCCATTAGCCTCAACTGCACTTCCATGGTGACCACAGGAGGAATGAGATGTTCCTATGGCTGCTAGTGAGTACGGAAAATTACGGGGGACGATAGTGGGTTTTATGTGGCGCAAGATTGGTCCAATTGCATATCAAAAAACCCCCAGTTCTACGTTATTTCAACGAGATTGCGATCTGCAAGGTCGTTGGCCAGCGCCTTAGCGAACATGCGATACGGCCGATAACATGTATCGCACCTGATGAGATCGCATACACGAACATTCATGCACAACGACGACCGATCATGTTGGAGACGTTACCATGCCCACCAGGACCACCCAATCTCACAACTGCCTATTTGCTTTGACCCTGCATGCCTCACCCAATCAACACCTTATTCAGGAAGTGCTTCGAATTACCGCTGAACAATTGAGAAATGGTTTCCAAAGGCAGAACAAAAGGACTGAAAAATTGTGAAGGCATGGTATGTCGGCTAAAACAACTGTAATAGTAGTAGGCAGTTTCAAGTAAGTGAGGATGGGCTATACGAAAATCAACGCAAAATCGGTATCGAACGCTTTAACCAATTGCGGACCCCCGTTATATGGGCACCTCTATACGTTTCTGTCGTCTGTTTTATCCTCGACCGATTATCTAGCAGTAGCTTCATCAGTATCCAGAATAGGATATTTTCTGTGCTCGCCATAGCTACTGTAGAAATTGCTGCTTAAAATGTTTAAAAAAAAACCGATGGTGACGATTCCTTTTTGCGTGGTGGCGTGCTAATGGTGCAGCATGCGTTTCCTAATGGGCTAAATACAAAATAAAATGATAAATAATAAATACAAAACGGTGAAACGCTCTTCTCTTTAAGGAGCTTTGCCGAGGACCTCTCGATTTAGAAGACTTTTAGAAGGAGGTAGTTTTTGATGCGATCTACAGAACCTCTTTCCCCGGCCTGCTTGTCAGACTTTTTGTGTAGAAAGGTAGAGGTACCCTTTCTGCGACATGACGAAACGAATAACCCCAGCTGATGAGAAGGGTGGATGTACTGGCCGCGGAACTTTCTGATCCCAATCTTATATTTCTAGGCAAATAAAAGTAACATAAAGAACATGAGAATGAAACTAATAAAGAGTGACAAGCAGAACCAAAAAAGCTTCAAGCCCCTCGTGAGACTTCCAATTGCTCAAGCCGAGGCGTATTCTGGATGCATTGTGATGTTAAGAAAAAACCAAAATTAGAAGAGATGATACTGTGCGATAATTCATGTTCATTAAGGAATAAGAAAAAACTGGAAACGGAAAATACAGTTGTATGATCAGGTTCTACTGCTACAGTTGCTGTAGTCATTTCAGCAACCTCCTTGATCATGATAAGAATGGGTCAAAAGTTCAAATCCGGGTTGAGAGCTTCGAAATATACAGCTTTGAATTTCCTGTATCCAGAACGTATTGCTGTGAGCACAAACATAAGTGTTAGTGAATTCAGGCGCATTCATGAGGGTATCAATTCTTGTATCACAGGTTGCCAAAGGAACTTACCCAGAGCGATCACTTCAATAGGATCCGCTTGGTACGATTGTGTATCTTGACGATCCAAAACAGTGCAGTAGTATGAGCCGACTACGGAATCTGTGCTCACGTCTTTGAGCTTTAAGTCATAAACTCCTTTGGAGACATCACCAATCAGCTCAAAATGTGTAGAGTCATGTAGTTGGTCGCCAATCGACACATACCTTGAAGCATGGAAAATTTGATCATTATTGTTTTCTTTTCAAAGAGTAAGATACAAAATGGGGTAACGAAAATTCAGAAGCAGTACTGCGACCGTATGCCACTTGACAGGTATCTGTGTGACAACACGATGCTGTGCCAGCGGCTACAGACCTGCTCCGCGTGGGTTCGCAATGGCGATTTCATGCCTGGGAGTAGGGTCAACGGTTCATTGGGATTCTCCCAGTGATACGGACCATGTTTGGTTTGGTATCAGAGTCGCCGTGGTGGAAGAAGTTTGCTAGGAAAGGGAAGGTGATATGTAGAATGTGCAGCGGGCTAAATGTCCCCACTTCCGTTTGACGAGAGCTTTGAAGTAATTGAGGAGGCGTAATTGAAGTTTATTGGTGGTGGCGAATTCAATGACACAATCGAAATTATCAACCTTTGGGGAAGGTGTACTATGAGGAATTTACTCGAAGAGGAAAGGGCAGCTAAAGTTTTGAAATCGCCACAGTGTGACGTTGACCTTGTCCGAAGAACAAAAAGGACTGCCTTGGCCGCCATCTAGTACTGAACATACCTGAGATCGCCTTTATTGTATCGCTGCCATTGTACTTGATAGCGAGTCGGATCCGAGAATTCACTCCGTACCGAGCATTTTAGCGTCGGCCCAGCTGTTCGCGGTTTAACATAGTATGGTCCGGTACCAGGTGTATTGGCAAATACCTCACTGTTTTCCACACATGCTGCAAATAACGATTTTTGGAACTATTCCAACATCATTGACATTACTTTACTTCCTTCAAGTGGACGGATCATCGGTATTACGGCGCATTACTGCGTGATTTGACCGCGACCGCATTTACCATTCGAATCACAGTTTCACTGACACCCATATGTAAAACCGTCAAGGAAAAGAACCACTGCGAAAATATTGGAAGGAAACTGTATGCGATTACTGGTACTGTAAAGGCGGGCCACAGCTGGTTCTTTAAATGGTTGCAATCACCTCGGAACAGACCCACTGAAGGTCGTATGCAGGTCGCAATCTTTACCTTGATGCCATAATTACGACTTCCGCGAGAAATGCGGGGCATTGCAGTCCATGTCGAACGTGTGCAAATGACCAGAAAATTGAACAAATCCTTCCGCAATCTCAGAGGAGTTTTCTTTCACTCGTGCAATGTTTTTCAGCCTTTACAGCGACTAGCAAACAATCCTCGAGTCGCACAAGGCTCGTTCCTTGCTGAAGTGATCACAAACCACGACTCTTGGCAAAATCCCTGGTACCTTGCACTGAGTGCGCTGAATTTATTCGACTTAATGACCACTGGGACTCCCCATTCCTCATACGGCGACATTTCTATAAAAACCAGACAATTTCACGGTACAGTGGAGCGTAGTACTAGCGGCCGTAGCGAGGCTACGTTCAAGCCTAATAGGTGGGCAAGAATCAATACCGTGCATAATGCATTTCGGAGGACATACCGAGAATAACTGGTCAGTTCTGTTAGCCCACCCAGGTTATGCGATATCCCCTCTTCAGCCTATTCCAGGTGCCATATTCCGTGAAATGGAGGCTTTCTGTTATATGAGGTCCTGGGTAAGGAAGAGGTATAGAACGCCTATAAGACCGAGACGATCGGGTCAGCAAATATGTGTGACCGGTCCTAGTCAAACACCGGTGTTGTTATTCGGGGTTTTCACCACGATGCACTTCACGATTTTGACCGCAACCGGCGGAATTTTCATAAACAAAGGCGGCACACAGAAATCAGAGAATGAAACGTGCAGAAGAATATACTCACTTATTATTTCCATGAGCGATATAAGGAACAAAGCCATGAATGGCCCCATATTTAGGGAGGAACGTTCCACCACGTGCTCCTAAAAACGAGCAGCTGTGAACGGGATGTGATCATGGTTACCACCGTTGTTGGCTGTTCAACAAAGCACTATCACGAGAGAATATCAGAGTTGAATGAATGAATGAGCGGTTTATATGAGACGCATAGAACCTACTAATAGAAAACAAATCAAATGTAAAAAAAACGCTGCTTCAGAAAGTAGAGCTCCTGCTCAATGTAACTGCAACGACTGATCTTTTCATAAGGGAAACATTCCAAGTGAAGAGGTGAGAAATACGTAATAAGGCCGCAAGAGGATGGAGCATGAGTGCCATACGAAAAACCTAGAGACATTCTCTAAAAAAATTATTCGGCTAGTTGATTCGGATAGTCGAAATAATCGTTGGCAGGATGAATAGGAAGCCGGAACTCCATCTGAGGTCAGCCGTTCAACCTCACACTTCGAGCTGTGTAAGGGAATGTGAAAAGAGCGCTCGCCCGTGTCGCAAAGGGTCAGCACATCGCGCCGGTTCCACGCGCGGTAATTATCTGCCAACCATACGACCTCCCCTCGCCACACTCCCGGTCTCGCTCACTTTCCGATCGCTGAGACGAATTACGACAACCAGGTGCTATCCGTGTCGTCAGCCGGATGAGACGGCGCCGTCTGAACTGACTGATGCCACAAGTGTGCTCTCATGCAGGTATTTGTTTATTTGTTCCCACCTCCATGTGCAAAAACCGTTCAGCTCGCAACGGACATCATCACAGGACAGGAAATCTTATGAAGCCTTCGCCAAACGTATAATTGCGTACGACAAAATGAAAAAAAAACAAAAGAGGAAATGAAAAGAACGACGTGAGGAAGTCGACAACTATGATGGCAAGGAAAGGTAGCACGGAAATGACACAATCGCAGAGGATCCAAAACAATCTGAGAGTTCCCAAAAAAAGTTTAAGATTATGTTCAAGAAAGTCACACTATATTAGGAAAAATCACTATAGGATTTGCAGTGGAATGCAGTCAGGTTCTGACCAGTTCATAGGTAAGCTCTTAAACCCGTCCACCTTAGCCTTAGGCTTTTATTCTAGAGCGAGCTTGCCAACCGCAAACAAAAGAGAAGTAATTGCGCTACTGTGCGCATAAGAAGTATTCGATAGAAGCTGAAATACACATGTTCTTGGGGTTCATGAAATGTTCAAGAGGAGAAACTCCATGAAATCAAAGATAATTAGGGGGTCAATGTCATTGAATGAGGACACGAGAGGTAATCGTGATCTCATTGCTAGATCATTGTCGTTCTTGTAATTCGAAAAGGAAGAATCACTTCTGAGAGGAATGGAAGGACTGAAAGTATTGTTGCGTACAATGTTTCATCCATAGCAAAACTTCAAACATTCAGGAAGAAGGAGCCTTTGCCTCGCCTCAGTTTCCTACTATGTGATACTCGATGATCTTAATTTTAGTGTCCATTGAGTGGTCAGTGTTAAAACATGTCTGAGATCCCGGTAGCCTTGATTAAGAATTAGACTGGATGTTTCATTAGAAAAAAAAAACGCTATTCTGGCGCAACAAGTTTGGTAGCTCTGGACCGTTTTTCACTAGGATTCGTTTGAGAAAACTATTGTCCAGCATAAGAGTACCGAGCATTACAAACAAATAAAGTACAACGCAAAATCGTACATGTAGAGCTTTACACAACGTACACAACAAAATCATTCATTATATCGCGAAAATATAAAAGAAACGGGCGCTATTGTTTGAAAAAAAGAACTATGGTAATATTATGATATACAACCAAGTATCTCGTGCTATCATGAAATCGATTGCACCAATGGCATAAAAATTCCATTTTAATACTTGAACATCTTAACGGTATAGAGCGTATGAAGCCTCCGAAGTGGGTTACAATTAGAGAGAGTGAAGAGTGTGTAAGTGAGAATGATATCAAGTGACCTAATCCCTGACCCAAGGCTTTTGTGTTAACTCTATGATTGAAAAGCAAAAATGCGCAAAATCACCTGGGTACCACCATTTGGACCTAATCGTTGCCTGCCATGTTTAGAGCCAAGTCAAGGAAGAAGGAACTTCTGAGAAGCAGGCGAAATGTACCCTCCATTTTTGGATGTATTTTTTGCTCAAACTTCGCTTTTCTGCATCAGCTATATCCGGTGTTATATGAACCGGGTAGGCACCCGTTGACGACAGCATGACGCGCATGCGCGTCAGGATTTCGCCCGATCTGGCCAACCTTTTTCGATTTTTTCAAAACTATTTCATTTTCAAAGCTGTTGCATGCGTGATCTTATCCGGAAAACTCTGCATCAATTGTCAGTAGTAGAATTATTGAAAAGTTATGACGATTGTGAAAAAAAATAAACAAAAACGTGCCAAGGTATACGCACAAGGGGCTGTCGTCAACGTGTTAATATTACTTACTACAAATGTTATGCTTATCCACTTCAGAGTTCCTGCTTTTACTAAAGTCTTGAGAAGGTGGCACTCCGGGTTGGGCGTGCAATATTTTTTTCCCCTGAAATTCCTGCTACTCAAAAATCGCTATACCCACCCGACTCACATATCAACCCATTTTGTTATTTGTTATTGTACATATTCAAATGCAATGATGACTGAAATTATTTCAAAATTAACTACGCTCTCTGAAGGAGCTGAGAAACATGCAAAGTTGAAGAATCAGCCGGATGAGTTGATGAGGCGCATTGGCAGGCGCGATGATGAGATCATAGACAATTAGCGAAGCATAATGATCAGCCTGAGCCTGTATTGATCATGTCAGTTCGACTTCAGGAAGGATGGCGATAATGAAACGATGAGCGAGAGATGAGACAGTGATCAGTTACAGATTCGGGAACAGTGCGTACGTATGTCACAAACAAACAGCGATGATCGAGAGATGAGCGGACGAGATAAATTTCGGAGATGGCGACTAATAGATCAAAATCTACTGCATCGATGCCAAGATACATGAAAACGTTTCGAGATCCGGCTGAAAATTGAAGAGATCAAAACTGGGGAGATGAGGGACTGATCAAGACCACGCCGTCCATTAGAGATAAGAGCTTGATCGCTTGCAATCGTCTAGGGCACCAAAATGACGACGCACTGCTGAAGCACTCAAACAATGGCGCAGATGCGCGACAACACAACAGAACCAGTTCGTCCCCATCATAAGTCAGCGTTCAAGTGAACTGTAGAAGTTGACCTTATGTCAGTGTTCTAGAAGAAAATTTCACTCTTTCCGCGACGGAGCGTGGTGTTCGTAGCCCTTGTGAGCACTATGGAACAGGATGGGCTCCGGGATACACCCAGAATAACGGGTAAAAACGCACGGTATTGTACAGGTGTTTCTGAGAAAGAACACACGAACGCGTTGGGAATAACGTATGCCCACGTAAAGCTGGTAACCGTCTGAAGTTCGAGCACATGGTCTGCCGTTACACTGCTCCAACCTCATCGCCTTAAATATAGCAGCAACGTGTTCAGGCGTGCAGACATGGAGCATCAATCCATACATAAGGGGAGAAAGCGTACAATTCGGGCTGCTGGTAATTTAGTTCACGAGAATGAGGAAGGCGACGAATGGGCGGCGTCCGTCGCGTCAGGGGTGCGCAAGGTGAGCAATACATGGGTTGACTGGACCGTCGAACGTCGGCGACACACCGTTTCACACCGCCATCGTTTTCTCATATCTACCATCGAATCAACACGTAATCGTCGTTAGCGTGCGCAGCAATGTCAGTGACAAGACCGTTCAAGCAAAGCGTGGCAAAACATGGCAATGGAACGAGAAGTTCAAAGAAAAAAGCTCTATAAGCATTCTGGGTTGCACTGAAAGAAAAATGGTTCAAGAGTAGCACCGGAAAAAGCAGCACTAC